CACTATTCCCCCCTAATCTTGTATCAAGCAGGTATTTTGGGGTTGGGACGTGGGAGAAAAGTCCATGTAATTGAAATAAAAGCACCACAATGTTGTCACTTTGTTTTGCCAGGCATGGAGATGAAAAACAGTCTCACTCAGTGACAGCAGCAAAGGGATAGCATCACCTACTATTCATTATTTGTCTTCCACCAGTGACTGTTGTTGTTTATTCTAAAGAAGCAAGTTTGATCTTAGAGGCTGAGCGTAAATCTGGGGCACAGACACCTGAAAACATTGGCCTGATCCTGTGCTTGGATGTGTAAAGTGGAGCAACCACCTCTAGTGTATTAGTCAACATTTGGACACGTGAAGTTGCTAATTATGGGTTACCTCCTTGCCAAAAGGTGTCCCTTCAGAAGGAAAAGGGAGGCATTTCATTTTCCTTCTGTAGCAAGTGGATTGACTTTTGCAGCTCATGACACCTATTTGTCAAGTTTTGTGTCTCAAAAGGAGGAATTGGGCAGCTGTGGAGGGGCAAGGTGATCCGATGGTGATGGGGCAGTCAAATTTTATCTAAATATTGTTATGTTCACTCTTCACCTTCTGCTGGAAGCCATCCAGGAGCTGCTCGCAATTTGGATGCGCATCTCAGGATCTCTTGGTGGCCTCTCAAACTGGCTGTGGGTTTTTAAAAGTCCAGTTGAGCTGTAAGACTTTCTCACACTCTTCCTTCAGTCACTTAGTGTTGTGTCTATTTTCTCTTTGCCTCCCTGAGATTACATCTGATTTGGAGAATGAAAAATGACACAAAGTCATTATAAATAAACCAAGCCCCAGCTCCTGGAGACAGCTGTATCCTGTTTGTGGAAGTGTTGAGATTTCATGGCTGATTTCTTCTGTTCTTTTCCTGCTTCCAGTCTGTCTCTTTCTCATTGTTTAGAAGTTGCATCCTACAGGATTAGGTGGGATTTTTCACTGGTGGAACGAGGAATGTAGCTGAACTGAGCTTGGAGGAGGAGAAACTGGAGTGGTACATGGCTCCTCTCTTTAGTATTCTGGGGCTGTGGTATGTGGATGTTTGTATGTTTATTAATATCCTTATTGTTTTTGAGCAAATACTCTGGGTTTATTTGAAGAAAACAATAGGGCCCCGCTTCTACATCCTTGGGTGTTGTTGTTTGGTTTTTTTAGAACTGCAAAAACCATGAAACAAAGGAAGGAGTCCTGGGGTTACAGCCGCAAATTGTCATATTTCCATTGATCTCTGCGGAGCAAGGCAAACTTGCTCTTTTCTTTAGTGTGATGCTGTCAAGAGATAAAACTGCCTTGTGATCTGAGGTCTCTGTTTTATCTTTTGCGATGAGCAGCAGAGCTTTTTGAGCACAAAAGCAACACCTTCTGATTCATTGAGGGGAAAAATGGGCAGGTTGTAGAATATCAAACAGCTGGCAAACAAGCCTGAGCCTAAACCTCCCTGTGACAAAGCGAGCTGGGGAGTAGGGTGGCTGTAGGCAGTGACACACTTAGCTGAGCTGGCAACACTTAGCGTAACTCCCAGGAACTACACTCTGAAAAGTGAGTATTTTGAACTTCCCTTAGAAGTTTGGAGGTGAACATAGATCAGCCAAACCTCAGCTTCTCTTCAACGTTACTTTTGTCTCTCTCCCGAACCTTTGACTTCTCCAGAGCTTAGGGATGACATTGAAATACAGAAAATGCTGAAACAAATGTATCGTTTATCTTCGTGTTTTTTAAAAAAGTCACAGAATTGTGACCTTTAGAAATTGTCTAATCCATCTCACTGTGCTCAAACAGAGTCCGCTAGAGAAAGTTGCCCAGTTGCTTCTGTTGAGTTTTCAATATTTCCCCAGATGGAGACTTCACAGATGGAGACTTCTGGGTAACCTGTTCTAGTGTTTGACTACCCTCACAGTAAATTAAAAAAAAAAGCTTATTCTTGTTTTCAGATAAAATTTCATGTGTCTTTTTTTAAAATCTGTGCCCGTTGCCTCTGTCCTCTCCGTGAGCATGGCTGAGGTGAACCTGGTTCCTTCTTCATGCATCTGTCAAGTATTTAAGATTCATAGAATCATAGAATTGCCCAGGCCGGAAGGGACCTCCAAAGGTCATCTAGTCCGACCTCCCCGCAGTCAGCAGGGACACCCCCAACTAGACCAGGTTGCCCAGGGCCTCGTCGAGCCTCTCCTTGAATATCTCCAGGGAAGGGGCCTCAACCACCTCCCTGGGCAACCTGTTCCAGTGCTCCACCACCCTCACAGTGAAGAACCCTCTCCTAATCTCCAGTCTAAATCTGTTCCCCTCCAGCTTGAAGCCATTGCCCCTCGTCCTGTCACTACAGGCCTTTCTAAACAGGCTCTCCCCAGCCTTCCTGTAGGCTCCCTTCAGGTACTGGAAGGCTGCTATTAGGTCTCCCCGGAGCCTCCTCTTCTCCAGGCTGAACAACCCCAGCTCCCTCAGCCTGTCCTCG